TCAGCAGGTAGCTTTTGCTACTTGTTATTTATAGTGACCACTTTAATTTGCTTCTTACATCACCTTTGCACGTTAAATAATGTGATTTAACACGATTTTCGTACGCGAGGGCCGATTTTATTTAACGGGAGACTTGAGGTTTCCAACTTTTTAAAATAAAAAGTTCTTGAAACTATGAAAACCAAACATTTTCTGAAGTCACATACATTCATCTATGAGAATAATATTACTGTTTAAGGTTTCGTTTGATAATGTAAAGAGTTTTATGGTAAGAAAACCTTGTATAGTTGTAATTCTGGTGATCCGTTTCTTTTTGCCTTATTTTTCATGGTTTTAAATGTTACTCATCAGGAAAAGCAAATGTCTCTTTGAAATCGGTAGTTCTATAATAGGAAATGAAAAAAATTGGCCTCCGGCCAATTTATGCGCGGCGCTTCGCGCCGCGTACCNAAGTATGGTTATTTTTACTCCTGGGACCTTCAAACGTCTAGAAATGATGAAATTTCAACTTTTTTTTTTTTTTTTTCTTGGAGGATGACAATACTTCCTCTCTACCCTATGGGAGCGAGAAAGTAAAAATATCCGTTGGTACACCAGATGAAGAGTTTTGGGTGATTGAATGTAAAGAGTTTTACGCAAAAACGGCTTATTTCGCCCCCCCCCCTTCAAACTTAGTGTATTGATTACTCATACTTGAGCACTTCTTTTCCTAAATTTCAGATTCCCTAAAAATTTNATTTGGGGGGGGGGGGCGCTAGAGGAGTTGAAGTCAAAACCTGTGAACCTTGACATCTCTCCAACAAAGAAAGATATCGAGGTCCGGTTTGGACAAAAAGCGTCTAAAATTGCATGCTGAAAGCTTCTAAAGGTCAAAATCCTGATATCTTATTTGAAGCACTGGATGCAAAAAGGGCACTTCTTAGTTGCAGTGTTTCAGAATCTTCTCTAATATTTCATTCATTGTAAGGAAAGTGAATTCATCCATTTCACCAAGAATTTTACTAAATATCCCTCATGATTTTGCAATTTTCCATGAAGAGAATTCTGGAAAAATCACTCATTAGATTCTTTTTCAAGGAATTAATTAGCAACAGAGATTCTGAAACACTGCAATCGAGGAATGCCCTTTTCGCATCCAGTGCCTCATTTTCAAATTAAAAGATGTGCTTTTTTCCAGTTTTATGGTCGATAAAATTTCTCTGAAACAAAAAATTCCCAAGGCAGTCATTTTTATATTTGAATCAGAACCAGTTTTTTAAATTTTTCGTCTTTTTCCGCATGCAGCGAATGGTCCATAAGCCTGGGGAAATGAACCGTCCGGAAGTTGTGCGCGATTAAAGTTTCCGCTCAACAGGCGCCGACCGATTTTTGCGCGCCAAAATATGGTTCCAAAGCCGGATTTGGATGTTAATGAATCAGATTATAGATTCAAACCGTGCAAAATACATTTTTAGGGATTCTTGAGGGTCGCTGAGTTCAAAAATTACAGACGCTTCCCAAAATTCACTTCTTTTCCGTAGCGCTCCATGACAGGCCCACCAAGTGCCGACCGATCGGCTTCTTTTGTGCCGCAAATTGTGCCGAAAAACGGTCGTTTTTGGGGTCGCTCTCTACCAAATTGTAAGCACATTTAAGTGAAAGTCGTAAGAACCAGTTCAAACCAATTTTAAGGGGGGCTTTCTGACTCCCAAATCCGTCAGTTCCAAAGTCATAAGATTCGCAAAATGAGCCAATTCTTCCTGACTTTGCCCCAGCATTATCTCGGTAAGCTCAAAATTAGTTCCACTTTACGATCTCAAGTCCCCAAATACTGGAGCAAGTCCAAAAGAACGAACTTTAAACGATCCAATTTAATCACATTAAATTTTTAAAGATTTTTTGAACTTTGCCGTGTATTTGGGGAATTGAGAACGTAATGTTGAACTAATTTTGAACTTATCAAGATAAATTTGGGGCAAATTTATGGACAGTTGATTCATTTCGTGGGAAATTCATATTCATTTTCAACTGATGCATTTGAGGATCAGGAAACCCCCCCCCCCCCCCCCCCC